TTATTTTGGATTTTGAAATCTCACTACCGCCAATACCAGAGTTTGAAAATAAAAGTTGAAATTTTATATTCTCATTTTGGATTTTCAAATCTCACTTTTTATTTTTTTCATGAATCTCACTACCTTAGAACTTGACACTATATACTTTTATTTTATAAAACTGGGGCATTTTATACCTACAGGCAGTAATTATTGTCAGAAATAATAATAATCAAGTATTAAAAAGAAAAAAATTAAAACGACGACATTTTTAAACATTTATGAAATCCTGGCGTAAGTTACGAAAAATCCACCAATGGGAATCAAGTAATCTCCTCCTCGAACAGCTGTTTATAAATTCAAAACAAACTGCAGATTCAGCAATTTAAGCATAGTTAAAAGGAGGATAGTTAGTGTATATGACCTTCGTACTTCATGACGAAGCATTTGCAAGTTATTTTACAAAGCTTGATTTTGTTTTAATGGAAAACGATTCGCTTCTCTAAACCCTCTGATATCACTTACAAACGTGTTTGCGGCGCGATCATGGATTATTAGCAACAAAAATTCCTAACAAGGTTGTTAAGGGAAGAGAGGGGGGGGTCGAGGAATTGTTCCCCCCCTTTTCTAACCTTTTCTCGACTTTGAATTAGATAAGTGTAAGAATTGTTTTTATGTTATCATGGAATCGAGAAATAAAAGAAAACTGGGTAATTAGGATGACAAGTGGCGAACTAGTAAAATTGGGAGGAATTAGTAATTTTCTAGAGAACGCTTTTTGGACCTCTCCGAGAAAAAGCAATCAGCAAAACTTAAAAAAACATTCATCAGATGGATCCGGGTCCATTTTTTACAGTGCGTGAAATGGGTTCTTACTTATTCTTTCTTATAGCGATTACTCCAAAGAACAAGATATTTCTATCCCTCCTGTTCCAGAATGCGCTACGTGGTGAGACTGGAGCTCGGAAGAAGAACCTGAGTAAACATCTGATCTGCGGGAAGACCGCCAAGACCTACTTGTTCTGGGACAACTTGATGTACCATTACAAGTACCTTGCACCCCTTTACGGAAAGAAAATTGAGTTTAAGGTGAATTCTAAATACTTACAAGTTTAATTATTATTTACAACTACTTTATAGGGAAGTTAAGAGAATTTTACTCTACCAGGGGTTCCCGGGATCAATTTTTTAGACAAAATTATTCGAGGGAACCCGTGATTAAGTAAAAATTTTAATTTCCCGAAAAAGTAGTTGTACACAATGGTATCGTCTTTTGAGATGAAAATGCGCCAATTTTTTCCCGAAAACTATGCAGAACGGGTGGTTATTTTACATAACAGTCCCAAGGGACGTTAAGTAACTTAACCTCCCTCTGTCAGTAAATCATAGGTCGGTAATGTTGGACAGAAGGCGGTAAAATAAATTAATATTATTTCCCTTGATCCCTCTTCAAAAATCATTTTTATCCGCTTTAGTGAAAAAAATGTTTTTTATCATTAAATTTGATTTTAAGGGTTATTAACATTTGCAAGTTGGAAGTTCTTTTTTTTGCCCACTTTCCCCCTGAGGGAATGCGGAGTTGGGAGGGGGGATTATTCTATTCATACCCTTTGAATTTTATTTTATGTGCATCTCAATGAGTTTTCTTAATAGAGTTTACTAATCTCTTTACCTCAGCAACATGATGGTGTAACAATTGATTTTAGTAACTTATTGATGTTGCAAAATTTATAGTTTGAAAGGTCTGCGACATCAGGTTGCAAAGATGCAAGTGTTTGAAAATTAGAATTGTGGTGAGTGTTCAGTTCCTTTGTATATCAGGAGTATATCAGTCCCCATGACGGCTGGTTATTCAGTTTCCCTCAAAACCTGAAACTTCATCATAAAATATCACAGTTTGAGAGAACAGAAGCAACTCATATAGAACACAGGTAAAATTACAATTAAATAAATGTATTATTTCACAGCGTGAACCTGAATAAAGTAAACACTAGCTGTATACAGGGTAAACCTGAATAAAGTAAACACTATCTGTATACAGGGTGAACCAGAATAAAGTAAGCACTATCTGTATACAGGGTGAACTTGAATAAAGTAAACACTATCTGTATACAGGGTGAACCAAAATAAAGTAAATTGTATCTGTATACAGGGTAAACCTGAATAAAGTAAACACTATCTGTATACAGGGTGAACCTGAATAAAGTAAAAACTATCTGTATACAGGGTGAACCTGAATAAAGTAAATAATATCTGTATACAGGGTGAACCAGAATAAAGTAAACATTATGAGTATACAGGGTGAACCTGAATAATCCTGACTGGATCCCCCCGTGTGAGAGGAACATGGAACGGTATACTGTAAAGGAACATCTAGAAACTATTCCTAGTAAGAAGTCCAGGTTTCTTAGAAAGGAATTCAGTACTTCAATTAAGCCGAGGTATATACAGGGATATATTTTCTTTTATAAAAAGTCCCACCCCTTTCAGAAATAGTTTTTTATTTCAGTGCATGTTTTACATTAAACAGGGAGGGAAAATAACGAAAAATTGGACAAGAAAATGTAAATTTTTCATCCTGATTGATACTTTACCCAAAATTAAATTTATTTTCACCAATTAAGAGAAAATCTACAACATAAAATGGCGCTTCGTGGAAACATAACTTGACTTCTGGGGAATCTATCCCAACCAACAGTATTAACCTCACAGTCTTGTCCCTTACTTTTAGATTATCAAGACAAGATTTTATTTTTTATTGAACTTTTTAAAATTACATTTTTAAAATAAGAGGTAGGGAAGAGATCGAAGAAGAAGAGGAAGCAGAGAAAAGGAATAGGAAAATGGAGGTTCAGCAACCAGTGGAGAAATCTTATTACAAGAAGAAGGATAAATATGTAAGAATTGTAGTTTTCATACTTTGATTTCCGATTGATGACAACTGACAGAAAGTTTTCAAAAACAGGATTATATGTCTTTTAAGCGTTTACAAAATTTCCCCCTTCTTCTTTTAGATCTTTGAAAAATGGCATAATAAAGAATGCAAAATTGAAACCTGAACTGAAAACTGTAGAATTGGATACCCTTGATCCTGATCGCTTAATCCAAATATCCACTGTGGAAACTTTTAATTTTCTTTTTTATCCGCTCTTGTTGGATATTACATTTCCTATTACATGTAATAAAGATACGTTTGATTAAATACAGATACGATGCTAATCATGTTTATATGAACTTATTAAAAACATATTTTATCACATTTGAGGACTAAAGTCCTTTTGAAAGTTAGTCTTAATAAACATTAATCCAAAACTTACGTGTGTTCAATCGATCATTAGTCCAATTGATATATCACAAATGCGGGAAAATAAAAACCGGTTTTTCAAAAGTTATAGAGACTAAATTAGTCTGGAGATTAGTAAAAAAGAGAGGATTAAGCATTGATCTCGATATCTATTCTAAAATTTTCTCTATATCTCTGTCAGTGTTGAAGGCCACTTTTTAAAAATCCCGAGACTAGTATGTGACCGTCACGTCACATAATATCCATGTTTATCGGAACACCCTGTAGTTTTATAATACGATAATGCAGGACCGTCACGTCACATATTATCCATGTTTATCGGAACACCCTGTAGTTTTAAAATACGATAATGCAGGACCGTCACGTCACATATTATCCATGTTTATCGGAACACCATGTAGTTTTCATGGAGGTAAAACATAAACATAAAGATGTCCGGTGTACACTGTCCAGTCCTTGTGTTGTTTACCGATGCGAGCACAGAAAACATCCTTAGAAAAAAGTTTGCACCAAATATTACAGTTTTTAACGTTTTAATACGGACTTTTTAGACACACAATACAGGTAGTAAAAAAGATATCTTGTAAATATGTTCCAATTTAAAAGCTAAATAGTCCTAATCTCTTCTTGATCTTTAGCTCCCTATAATACAAATTCTATTTATTATGTTAAAAATTTAAAAGAGATTTTTAAATTTTTACATCTTGTAGAGAAATCATTTTTACAAACTGTATTGTAAATTCGGTCCCAGGCCCAGGGTATCTAAAATCGTTTACCCTGGGATCGAATTGAATTAATTGGAGAGATCGCTTAACTAGCTACCGCCGGTTCAAATCTCGAATCACCGATTCAAACCCTCTTGAATATTTAAAGCTTTGAATCAGTGATTTAAATTTGAACCGGCAGCATTTAGTTCAGTGACCTGGCTCAAATTCGATCCCTGGAAGGCGTAACCCTTAAGTCGGAAGTTTTGTGATGTGAATCTCGGGATGAAGCATTGATCTCTGTTTTATTCAAATCAACGGATAATTTTAATTTCTCGTCGATATCCCTCAATAGGTATACCCTGTAGGGATAACTTTAATATATAGAGAACAAGCATTGGATATTAATATTGTTCAAAATTAACAATATCCAAAAAAATTAAATTCTCTTATCAACGTTTTATTTTAAATTGTTTCAAAGGACTTTTCTTATATAGAAGAATACTGTTTTTTAACAATAAACTAACCCTAACTTTTTTGCAGCGATATATTAGACTGTTTTTTAATATCAATATTTGTTTATGTGTCTTTTTAATTTGAATAGGAGTTTAATTTTTTTTAAATGTTTTTTTTTATTTTTTGACAATTTTTTATTACTCGAAGAAATAAACAAAAACAAATAGTGTACATCGCTCCTTTTTTTAAATTTATATTTGTTATTTCCTCTGTATGAATTGTTTTTTTCCTCTGTATGTATTGTTTTTTTCCTCTGTATGTATTGTTTTTTCCTCTGTATGTATTGTTTTTTCCTCTGTATGTATAGTTTATTCCTCTGTATGTATTGTTTTTTTCCTCTGTATGTATTGTTTTTTTCTCTGTATGTACTGTTTTTTCCTCTGTATGTATTGTTTTTTCCTCTGTATGTGTTGTTTTTTTCTCTGTATGTATTGTTTTTTCCTCTGTATGTATTGTTTTTTCCTCTTTATGTATTGTTTTTTTTCTCTGTATGTATTGTTTTTCCTCTGTATGTATTGTTTTTTCCTCTGTATATATTGTTTTTTCCTCTGTATGTATTGTTTTTCCTCTGTATATATTGTTTTTTTTCCTCTGTATAAATTGTTTTTCCTCTGTATGTATTGTTTTTTCCTCTGTATGTATTGTTTTTTCCTCTGAATGTATGTTTTTTTCCTCTGTATGTATTGTTTTTTTCCTCTGTACTGTATGTATTGTTTTTTCCTCTGTTTGTATTGTTTTTTTTCCCCCCGTATATTAGGTAATATGTATGTTTTTTCAGGAAAAAGACATAATCAGGGAAAATTTTTAAAAAAACAGCTTAATGTATCTTAAAGGCTGGAAAACATGCAAGTTGAAATCATATTTTCCATTTTTCCCCCAGATCTTCAAAAATAATTTCCCCTATGGGATGAAAGGGTGGGGTATAGTTTAGTAATCATAAAAATATATGTCCCTCTGTTCAGATGCGGATTCGTGGTTCCTAGAAGCTCACACTCCTTCTCTTCATGAACACTACGAGAAGTTCTATACAGATGCACTCAACAAGAGAGTTATCTGCCCTAAACTATACTCAACAGCATGCTAGTTACTCAACAGCATGCTAGTTACTCAACAGCATGCTAGATACTCAATAGCATGCTATATACTCAACAGCATGCTTGAATATCAAATTCATGCTAGATACTCAACAGCATGCTAGATACTCAACAGCATGCTAGATTCTCAATAGCATGCTAGATACTCAACAGCATGCTTGATTATCAAATTCATGACAGATACCCAACAGCATGCTAGATACTTAAGAGCGTGCTTGAATATCAAACTGAATACTTAATACTTAACAGCATCCTAGATACTTAACAGCATGCTTGAATATCAAATTCATGCTGGATACTCAACAGCATGCTAGATATTTAACATCATGCTTGAATAATAAATTCATGCTGGATACTTACAACAGCATCCTAGATACTTAACAGCATGCTTAAATACCAAACAGCATCCTAGGTACTTAACAGCATGCTTGATTACTCAACAGCATGCTAGATACCCAACAGCATAACTGATTACTCCACAGCATGATTGATTACTCAGAATGCTTAATTACTCGATAGCATGCTCGACTACTTTATCATTTGATTTTCTTAGTATTTTATTAACAAAATACTAGACTTCCTGGCAGCATGCTTGATCCTCAAACGCTTCTGAATAGTATGCCAAACTACTTAAAAAGTATATTTGCTTAACGGGACTTTCAAGTGTTCCTTCAGATAAACAGTTACAAGTCTGGTTTACTATGGTACCCTTAAAACATTTGTTTTGTAATATATTGGGGTTATCCATGTTTTTCTAGCTGAATATTAATAATTCTTCAGATTAAGCGATTGAGATTAAGGGTATCCAATTCTAAAGTTTTCAGCTTTGGTACCGTTGTTAATCAGGGAAAAATCTGGCATAAATTGAGGTTCAAATAACAATTCGTTTACAGTCCCTTTAATTTCAAACCGTTTTTAGCACACTGCCCGGAACCGGATGGTTTAAGCACACTGCCCTGAATCCGGATGTTTTGAGCACACTGCCCGGAATCCGGATGTTTTAGGCACATTGCCCGGAATCCGAATGTTTTGAGCAGACTGCCCGGAATCCGGATGTTTGAAATAATATAGATCTTCCACTTAGTTTTTTTTTTCGTAGTGGTGTCAATCTTCCTTTAGAGCTGTGAGTCAAATTTAGAAGAAAAAATATATATATTTATGTTTAGATTATTTATTAACATGTCTTTACTTGAATTCTAGTCATTGCTAGTCTACAATAAATTGTTATTAAACTACTCAATTGTTATAATAAATAGATAGATATAGTTCATAACTTGAAATTCAAAATATATTCGAGAGCAGATAATAATAAAAAATCTAAAGTGCTTTGATCTGGATCAAATAGGCGTGAATTGGATGAAAATATCAGAATTTATTCATATTATTATTTTCATGCTGGCGATTCTTCTGAACCTCAGATAACAAAAGAATTCGTCTAAATTTTATCATGTCTTTCTTTGAATCACCGTTCTTATTAGTTTATAATATATTGATAAAATACTAAATTGTTTTTATAATATAAAGTTTAGGAATTAAAGTTGGCCGAAAAATTTAAAAAATCGGACGCTTCATCATTTAGTTCTGAACTTTGGACGATTTTATGTTGTTTATGATTTGAGATCTAGGTAGACAGAAAAGTGTGAATATAAAAATATTCAATTTTTCAGACAAAGAAAATGTCTGAAAATGACTGGATTAGTTTAAATGTTGGAGGCCAGAAGTTTGCAACATGCAGGTAAATAAATAAACACTTCAGATTCACAACATTGGCTTTGTCTATTCAAAAATAATATTAAAATATATCTTAAAAAATTGTTAGTTCTCGGTAGAAGTTACTTGTGTGGAATTTTATGCAACAGAGACAAAGAATATAACTTAAATAAGTCAAAAGTCAACACAATGACATAAATGTTCTAAGTAAATGGTAACGCTGTGAATAATGAAGGGTCACTTAAAATATGTATACAGTTCCTTTATTACAAAGTAAATTTTTCTTGGTTTTCACAAAAACTTATTTAATAACAGAGAAGTAAAATACAACATTACTCGTTATTTAAAAGAAATTAAATTCTGAAATTTTGCTATGGATTTTAAAAATTCAAAACTGTTAAAACTACTTTAATCCTGAAAATGTTCAAGGTGCAGTTTAAGAAACAAATCAATTACTACACAAAATCCTCGGAGACATTTCACTTTGTAAAAAAATAATGAAGACGACAATCATTCCACTATATTCTGGTGAACACTCAGTGTTATTTATCTATACCAGGAGTACACTGAATCGAGAACCCAGCTGTATGCTTGCAAGAATGTTTGCAAATCCTAAATCTTTGAAACCTGGATCTACAGATAGCTCAGGAGCATTTCTTATAGACAGGTGAATTCATTTAGATAAGACAAATGCCTTACTCCGATAGTACTTTAAGTTTGTATATATTTATACAAGACATGAATTAGAGTTATTGCGATATTTATTACAGGGTGTCCCAGTAAACATTACAGTTTAGAGACGACCAAAAGATAGTCTTATATTTTTGCCAGCTATCTAATAACAAAAGATTTATCCTAAAAGCTGTGGTGTGACTGCTGAGAACCTTACGAATAGCATAGCTGAACCTTATTTGGATACACACTAAGTCTTTAGATAGTCGGCAAAGAGCCTTAAAGTTGTCTTTCAACTGTAATTTTTATGGGAAACCTGTAGTTCATAAATTGCTGCTTTTTTTTATAGAAAAAAACTACAATGATCAAACAACTTGGTCAAATAACCTTTGCTTTTAGGCATGTCATGTCATAAATTTATTTTTAAACTGTTCAGGAGTCCAAAATATTTTGAGCCCATCCTGAATTATCTGCGGACTGGAAACCTTATAATTGATCCAAACCTGAATCCTGAAGGTAGGGTGATCCAAACCTGAATCCTGGTGGTAGATCAGTTAATTGATCCAAACATAAATCCTGAAGGAATGGCAGTTTATTGTTCTAATACTGAATCCTAAAGGTAGAATCTAGTTAATTGATCCAAACCTGAACACTGAAATTAGGACGGTTTTTTGATCCAAACCTGAATCCTGAAGGTAGGGCAGTTTATTGATCCAAACCTGAATCCTGAAACTGGTGTAGTTAATTGATCCAAACCTAAATCATGAAGGTAGGGCTGTATTAATCCAAACCTGAATCCTGCAGGTAGAGCAGTTAATTGATCCACCCAAACCTGAATCCTGAAGGTAGGGCAGTTTATTGAGTCAAACCTGAATGCTAAAGGTAGCATAGTCAGTTGATACAAATCTGAATCCTGAAGGTAGGGCAGTTAGAGGATCCAAATCTGATTCATGTAGGTAGAGCAGTTAATTGATCCATCCAAACTTGAATTCTAAAAGTAGGGCAGTTAATTTATCCAAACCTGAATTATGAAGATATGTCTCTTGTACACAATTAGAAATAACAGGATGAGTTTATATGATGGCTTATCATGTGATCGAGGAGATATTAAGATATTATTTGCTAATATTAAGTTCAATGATCTGACCATGGGTCAGTCTCGTTTAAATATAATTAGTGTCAGATATACTCTGAATATGAATGGTTGTGTTAATCATAAATGGGTAGAGAAATAGATTCAGAGATCTAGTGCAAGTTAGAGATTACATAGAGTACACTTTTGGAGTTTGGAATTGTTACAAACCTGAATCCTGAAAGTTGAGCAGTTAATTGATCCAAACCTGAATCCTGAAGGTAGGATCTAGTTAATTGATCCAACTCTCTGAATCCTGAAGGTAGAAAAGTGAATTGATCTCAAACCTGAATCCTGAAAGTTGAGCAGTTAATTGATCCAAACCTGAATCCTGAAGGTAGGATCTAGTTAATTGATCCAACTCTCTGAATCCTGAAGGTAGAAAAGTGAATTGATCTAAACCTGAATCCTGAAGGTAGAAAAGTTAATTGATCCAAACCTGAATCCTGAAGGAAGAATATTTAATTGATATAAACCTTAATCCTGAAGGTAGGACAGTTAAAGATCCCAACCTGAATCCTGATGGTATGGCAGTTAAATGATCCATCCAAACCTAATTTCTGAATTTAGGATGGTTTTATCGACTCAAACCTGAATCCTGAAAGAAAGGCAGTTTATTGATCCAAACCTGAATCCTGAAGTTAGATTAGTTAATTGATACCCTGAATTCTGAAGGTAGGGCAGTTTGTTGATCCAAACCTGAATCCTAAATGTTGGATCTAGATAATTGGTCCAAACCTAAATCCTGAAGTTGTTTTAATAATTAATTCAGGTCATAACTAGAGATTATTATAATTATTACCATTTTTTCCAAATAAATGTATTTTTTTATAAGATTAAGGTTTAAATGCTACTGTTGTTAATCGGGTATTTCCATCTTTTTATTTAATATTTAGATTCACTGTAAATTACGCATAAAGTCCCTTTAAATGTCCAGGTATACTGGAGGAAGCTAGATATTTTGGAATAGAATCGTTAATTCCCCGCTTGGAACAAATAGTGGCGCAGAATTCAATCCCAAGGTAGTTTTTTTTCTTTAAAATTTGATTTTTTTTTCAATGGTACTTATAGGACCATCATTAGTTGAAATCTAACTCAGAACAAAAAGTTTACAAAAATTAGCATCTATAAAAAAGATTACTTTATTCATTTTTTTCTGATTCATAAATAAAAAAACCTAATACTTGACCTTATGTTTGAATCTAAAACTTGGCATTTGCACTTGCGAGGAGGATGTGCTCTAGATTCAGAATTGTAAATTTGTAAGCCTTTTTTTGGCCGAAAATTTGAGTTTATCTTTTAGTATATGATATAAAATTAACATTGATAGGTTTTTTTCCGCCTTTTGACCAACACTACCTAGCTATAATTCCCCCAACAGTCCCTAGGAACGGATATATAAAATAACCACCCGATCTGCAAAGTTTTCGAGAAAAATTCCACACCTATTCATCTTAAAATATCGTGTACAACTACTTTTTCTGATGATTAATTTTATCCTAGAGATGATAGATCCTTGACTAGAAGAGATGTAATTGATGCCTTGATGAGTTCTAGTTCCGGTTCCGGTAGAGGAGATACAGGGCTAAGGTTCCAGGTATGTACTTATTGTATAATGTATAATTTCGGGTGACCCTCCCTTCAAAGATTGCCATGTCCAATTCACAAAGGTACGCTTTATACTTTTGTTCCATTAAGGATAAGTTATGTATCCTTATTTTATAATTTTAAAATTTATTATTTCTTTTTTGAATTGAGTTGCTGATTTACCCTGCAGAGGCAATGATAGAATTTTTTGGAACTCTTTTCAGAATTGTAAAACAAAGATATCTTCCTATTTGTGATTTTCATATGAAAAAATTATAAAAGCTACAGATGTGAATTGGACATCCCACTTTTTAAATGAAGCGTCATTCCCGAAGAAAGTCTCTCGAAGCGGGGGGGGGGGGAATACGAGGATTCCGCGTTAAAAGTTTTTTTATTTTATTTTCTTATCTTTCTTTTCGCCGAAACGTCATAATTCGATGAAAAAGGGCAATCGCAAAAAAAGCCCGCTTAATTTTCTTAACCTACTTACAGATTTGATTTTTGAGAATGGTATTGGTGGGGGGGAGGGGGGGGGTTGTGTAGGTTGAATTATTGCTATTCAAGAATTCTCCCCTTGATTTTTCAAAATTTGGAAGGAAAAATTGAAAAATTGAAACTTCAATTGGCAAGTGTTTCCCCTTTCACCGAACAGAAGATCACTAATCTAATATTTTCAATTCAATGTTAGGGGGCTAGTACTTTTGAATATTTGTATTTTAGTAAGTATATAATCCCTAGGGTGTAAACCTGGAGTCAGCTGATCTATCCCGTCTTGATCTCAGGGGTATTAACTTCAAGTACGCGAACCTTTCTCGCGCGCGTTTAACTGGAGCTAATTTGTCCTGGTGTCAACTCGAGCGTGCTGATTTATCCTACGCGCTAATGGAGGTGAGTTTGGGGCAAAAATAACCTTGATTTCCTGTTCACATTTATTTTTCTGACATCTGTCTACATAAAGGATATGCACAATTAAGATAAGACTTGAGAAACGACTGTAGGGATTTTTTAAGTCGTTGTTCATACAACTATTTTCCCTGCAGCTGAAAAAAGAATCGTATGCCATTAACGACTAAATTGAAGTCAGAAACCTTAAAAAGTTACAGGTTGTTATTTATGTCTTATTGTTGTAGTCTTCTCTTTCATGGCGTATTTAATAATAAAGAAACAAACAAGACAATCGTACAGTTGCGGGGTATCGTAATCAGACTACACATTTTGTAAAGCTGTCTCTGAAGTCTCATTCTTTGTGGCCTGTGGGTAACTATTTTAAATGTTTAATATAGCTTACTTATACCTAGCTTATTGTATCTATTGTAGGGAGCACAAATATAGCTTACTTATACCTAGCTTATTGTATCTGTTGTAGGGAGCACAAATATAGCTTACTTATACCTAGCGTATTGTATCTATTGTAGTGAGCACAAATATAGCTTACTTATACCTAGCGTATTGTATCTATTGTAGGGAGCACAAATGCTGGGGGTAAAGATGCTCTGTGCTAATCTTGAAGGAGTAAATCTTACAAATGCTAATTTTGAGGATCCAGCAGGCACTAGTGCAAACCTAGAAGGTCAGGCCTGTTTAAACCTTTAAAAAAGTGGAAAATTTTAAAGATAATTGTATTCTTTCGTTAGCAGCGTTTCGGATCCGTATCATTTGGTCGGATCCGGATCCGGATCCGTATCAGGAAACGTTGATATGGATCCGGGTAGCGCCAAAAATTAACCAAAACCATGGAATAAATAAATCAAAATGGTTCGTAAATGTATTATTTACATGACGAAAATTTTTCAACTTTTTAACTTTAGGATTACTATAGTTTATAAATTATAACCTTGCATAACATTTAAAAGAGAAAATCCGATTCATAGAATCAAAAGTTACCTCGGATCCGGATCCGTATCAGAGTCAGGATCCGGATCCATCATCACGGATGCGGATCCGCATCAAAATGATACGGATCCGAAACACTGTTCGTTAGGATCCATTTGATTTTGATGCGGATCCGAAATAGATTGTCAAGTACAATAGATGGCAACAGAAAATTCGACCAACTGCGCACAACGTCACAAGTGTCAAATGTAAAAAGAAAGACGACATGTTCTCTAATTAGTTGATACGATTTCCAAGATTCAGCTTAGATAAATGTCGTCTTTGTGGGAACACGTAAAAAATATTTACAACTCAAAATTACATACAGTATATTTACTGTCGTTTGGTGGCCTGATTCTTTTTTTCTCTGTATATCTATGTAAACTAAATAGTCTGAGGGTGGGGGGATAGGGCGTCCAGGTGCCAAAGGAAGAGCAATAAAGTAAATGTTTTTAGGTTATTATAGGTTTTCTGTTCAATTTCTAAAGCCAGTTAGTTTTTTGAAAATTCAGACGTCTAATTTTTTGAAACACAGGCCGTCCTCTACTCATACAATATACACAGGCCGTCCTCTACTCCTACAATATACACAGGCCGTCCTCCACTCATACAATATACACAGGCCGTCCTCTACTCATACAATATACAAATTTTACAAAAAATCAGTTTGATTTCTCTGTCTTAAAAGTAACGTAGTTTTGGTGGGTTTAACAATGGCTAAAGTACACACATTATATCATCATACACAACAACAACAAAAAAACAATAATAAAAATACAAAAAATATTTTTAATCATTTAATACAAAATAGATTGACCCTTTTGCTTCAAATTTCTTATCATGTGATGACTAAGTTTGTTCACTACTACATTTAGGTGCTTTATTCTTTGGAAAAACAGGATTTTCACAAAAAGGTTAATAATGTCTGTGGGAACACATGGATTTTATTAGTCTCGTCAATTTTCAAAGAAATGAGCCACACTTCTTCTTTTTGTACTTTAAATCTGGATGTCCCAGGGGGTGGACGAAACAAGTTCTTCGCCTTTAAATGAAAAAATCTAATCAATAAAAACCAAAAAATTTCATTTCATTCATAATAATGTAATGTTGACTTAGTACTTGTCCATATTATACCTTTAAAGTACCTTGATGGATTTTGAAAATTAAAAAAATCTGTTGTTTGTTGTTGTTAAAACAAATATACAAACAAATCACACAGACGCACATATTTGCGAAATTCATATATAATATAAAAGTTGTCCCACGAATTATTTTGCAGATCCAAAATGTTGGCCTATAAAAAGCATCAGACCAATAGCTTACTTAAAAAGATGTATAAAAATTTGTCAATTTTAGGTTATGTATGAAATAAATGAAAATAATATGTAAAAAATCTTTTGAAAAATACGGGAAATCGATTTTTCGGCTCATATACTTGAAAAAGTAATTGTAATATAAACAGAATGCCTTGAAATATCTGAAATATAGAGCTTTCTAATGTTACCATAATTGTGAAAATATAAATAAAATTGTTGCCTCAGTACCCAATACTCCTACTGCAAATGTTTGTTTGGACACCCTGTATATAATATATATCTATATAAGTTTTCCATTAATTTCATAATTTAAATACTATTTAAAATTTTATATATTTCTTATGTGTTCCCGAAAATTGTAAAATACGACATTTGTGAAAAAATTGAATATCCTGAGAAGAAGACATTTCATTAGAAAACTAACTTTTCTTGTTGCCTGTATTTTCCCCTGGATCTGCGGGTTTATCCTCGATTAGACCTTTCCAGAGCACTACCCCAAATTTATCATTAAACATTTCTGAAATATGTTATAACGTTATAATTGCCAATTTACAAAGTTAAAGGGCCATGGACAAAATCAGTTTCAACCCTGTTATTTAGTTAATAGAACGTTAAATGATGAAGTGTGAAAACAGAAAAAAGAATATATAAAATTGCACTGATTTCACTAAAATATTAGCTCTTTAGTCTTACATTATCACTTTTATTTATAGTTTTTTTTTTCAGACACAATTTGAGTTGACACTTATGACGTAAATACAGCTGTACTGAAAGTGTACGCATTCTATGTTGCCATCTATTGTACTACACAACCTATTTGGCGGATCCTGTTCCGGGTCATAAACAATTCTTTAAGATTTACTTATTTTTTAACAAAAGAAGAATTCTAGAATTGTATTTCCCTTTTTTCGCTTATTATTATGCTAAAACTTGATGAATTAGGACATTTTTTATAATCTCTTTTTTTCAACAGTTTAGATTTAGTTTTTGAGAGCAAAAGATTTTTAAAAAGTTTTTGTTTAGATTTTGTCCCTTGGACCATTTTTTGACGATCTTTCTTTGGAGTAGCATGTCAGATTCACAAGCAAATTTTCGAGTTGTTCTCCACCTTTTATTTGTTCTGACAAAGAATGACTTAAAAAAAAGAATTTCTGAACATCAAATATCTTCTTATTTCAGGTGCAAACTTAAGGGGGGCTAATCTAGAAAATAGCACCATGGCAGGTGTGTAATATTGTGCATTTACCCTTTTCTCTTTAATTGGAAATAATTTATTTTGTCCTCTTTTGTTCTACAGTTTTCTTATTTTTTCTACAGTTGTCCTCTTTTTTTCTACAGTTGTCTTCTTTTTTTTTACAGTTGTCCTCTTTTTTCTACAGTTGTCCTCTTTTTTTCTACAGTTGTCCTCTTTGATCTAATTTTGTCTTCTTTGGTGTCAGTTTCCCGTTTGATCAAATTTGTTTTTCTGAAATCTATACTGTCTATACTGTCGTCCCGTTTAATCTGGTTTTTGTCTTCTTTAATGTCATTTATATATAGTTTGATCATTTTTTTCATATTGATCGGATTCGTCTCGTTAATCAAATTTTGTCTACTTTCTTCCAATTTTGTTCATGTCTTTGATCCAATTAAATCTCATTGTTAAATTTTTGTTTACCCTAGGAATCAACCTAAGAGTTGCAACCTTAAAAAATGTGAATATGCAAAATTGTGATCTAAGGATGGCTGTGTTAGCAGGTACTTTATCTAGGGGCACATTTTTTTAGGAATTCCCCCCTACTCTCGAAGATTTGGGGGAAAAAAATGTAACTAGCATGGCCATATTCCCCCTTTTATACTACTTTAATCTGGCCACATGTCATACAATAATCACAAAATAGCCCTAGTCCTGCAATTCCATAATGTGGTCTGCCATTCTTGTGCTTTTATAATTACCGGAGATATGCATGATTTCGGTTAGAATGAGACAGTTTCATGGTTTTGTTTAATGAATTGAAATATAAACAAAATTCGTAATATCTCTGGTATTTTTGAGAGTAAAAAATGGCAAACCACATTTTTGAAATACTATTTTGCGATAACTGTTTCTTAAAAAATATCGCTAAAATCGGGTTACCTCTAATGAATGAATGCCGCAACTTTAAAGAAATAAATTCATTTTTATTATTCCAGGTTATATAGAATAGGACTGTATGTAATTTTTCCCGAAAAGTATTGATTAAAGAAACCCTAAAATTCCTTATAAAATAAATTTTGAGAGGGGTGGGGAAATTCCTTACATACTAGGGGAAAAAATTAATTTTGAAAGGGGAGAGGGGGGAAATAACTTTTCAACATTCTCTTAAAGCGACCAGTAAATCCTCCCAAAGGTTTGCAAGGTTGAAAATTTTAAAGATTTTTTTTCTTACTTTATCAATTTAAAATTATTTAAAGTATGCATAATATTACATTTTTTAAAATAAATCACATGCACAAGAAACAAGATTAAATTATTAATTTCTTATGTTTAATTTTTTTCCAGATACTTAAGGTATCACTGTTAAAATTAAAATCAAAATATAAGATTCTGGAAACTAAAGTGAAAATGTCAATTGTTCGAAATCAGGAATGCAAATCTTTAGAGATTAGAGATTAGAGATTAGAGATTAGAGATTAGAGATTAGAGATTAGAGATTAGAGATTAGAGATTAGAGATTAGAGATTAGAGATTAGAGATTAGATCTAAAAGTATTAAGCGCAGAGCTCAGAGCATAGATAATATAGAGTATTCAGCGTAGAGCATATAGCGCATAGAGCATAGAGCTAAAAACACGCTGGAAGAGAGGAGATTTTCAAATGAAGATCAAATTGCAAAAGATAAAAAGTACTAAGGACTAGAAATACAATACAGGGTAACTCCTTGTCCTAAATATAAAAATTTATTGCTACAAAACATAGAGAGTTAAATGAAAGTGTGTAAATAAATTATGAAGCATTGACAGATCTTTTTGCAAATTACAATACAAAGCTTGTATTAATTTTTATGTTAAAACTGTAGACCTATCTGTTTAATGTCTAACCAACTATATGATTAAGCTGTAGTCCTATATATTTAATATCTAATTAACTATATGTTTAAACTGTAGTCCTATATATTTAATATCTAATTAACTATATGTTTAAACTGTAGTCCTATATAATTAATATCTAATTAACTACAACTATATGTTTAGAGGAGCCAACCTGAAGGATGCAACTCTTGAATTAATGCAAACTCCTCTTCATATGTCTCAAACTATTCGATGAATCAAACAAATCAATTCATTAATCATCATTCCGTAGAAACCAGGGCTGAGCCTTCGTAAAAATATCCATAATGATTACACTACTCGAGTTTCTTTATGTTTAACTTTTAAACTTTTTAAAATGAACCCCAATAACGACGACATTAGATACACAAGAAAAGATTGTTTAAGCAGACTAAACATTCATGAACACGTCATACAAAGAGGTCAATGAATACGTTTTACTTCTCGGGGTCAATCTGTACTCTATTGGAAACAAATTTAACTGATCAGTATCTTGTCTTTCTGAATTGTGTGTTTTACTAGTCCTCTATACAAAACAAAACACCCCATACCTTTGGCGGAGTGGGATTCCTTTTGTGTGCAATGCCCCGTAAAATTCCAAAACACAGAGAAGGGGGATTGAATTTTGTAGATCCAGAAAAATAATATCTGTGGGATGCCTGCGTAGAGACTGGCAGCTGGTGGGGTCTTAAATGTAAGACATGTTGACGCAGCGCTCGGCCCCTATCCTGCCCTAGCGCTCGGCCCAGAAAGTGTCATAACTTAACCTAACCCGTGGCTGCAGCGCTTGGCCACCTATCCTAGCCGCAGCGCTCGGACCAGAAAGTGTCTGAACCTAACCTAACCCTAAATAAATACTAATTTAATTATTATTCTGGATCTACAAAATTCAATCCCCCTCTCTCTGTTTTGGAATTTTACGGGACATTGCACACAACAGGAATCCCATTTCGCCCAAAAATTTTGTACAGAGTATAAACAATACAATTGCTACTACTCTTTTACTCAATGTAAATTCTGGACGTGGCTATAACAGAGCTAAATTCATATTTTAAAGTTCAGGTGAAACGCTCTGGTATAGTGAAGACGACTTTAGCTATTTAGTCTTATTTATCTAGGGATACTTCTAATCTACTCAATTTGGACTAATGAAATACCTCGATGTACTGTATTGAATTGATCAGCCTATCTAAAAATAAAAAATGCAATACAAATTATTTTTTGAACGAAAAATTGTGGGGCTACAGTGTCAAATATTCGTTTACATATAAAATATGTAGTTGCTAGAAATTATGCATTAAAAAGTCGTTTTTCTTGGAGCTAGCCAAACTTATTTGGAAACAGTGTGTGGTTTTACATTGATACCAAATATTTTATACTGAAAAACTCATATCTTAATCAATATTTAATTTCAATGAATACACAAAACATGGATCTTTATATAAGAGATTTTATGCTATTTAAGTTTTATTTTGTAATGATTCATTCATAGTTCCTAAGCATGGACATTTTTATACCACTTTTTTTTATCAAGCAACTTACCAAAACAAATATATTTGACCAATCAATTTACCAGTTCGTGAGTTTTGTTTCCAGATTTGGATCACAATCTTTTATCGCATGATGTCAGCAGATACGAGAAATATATTTAGAAGTAAGGTCGTCTTATGCTTTCATTTTAATCTAAGTATTACAGACGACATCTAATGTCTTATCTGTTATTGTTAATGTATAAACGGATTTAGTATACTAATCTTAATCTGAAAGGCAGCTTCTAGTATGGAAAATCTTCCTTAACATTGTGATATATTTGTAAACTCGTGAAAATAAATTTTGAGTGTTAACATATCGTTTTTCAATCAAATGTTGGTTGTCTATTTGCCAAGGTTGGTTTTCTTATTAAAGTAGTTGCTTATATTTTCGCAAAGGTTCCTTATCTTGTCGGCCAAATGTTGGTCATCTTGTTGACCAAATGTGGGCCATCGTGTTGACCAAATGTTGGGTATTTTGTTAGTCAAAGGTTGGGTAGGCGACGGGCGCCATGACAAACTCCTGAAAGACAAACTCCTGACGAGACAAACTCCTGAAAATAAAAACTTCTGAAATACAAACTCCATAATATCAAATTTAAAAAAATCAAAATCTAAATTATATTCTATTCTAATTATACAATTAGGTAATTTCCTAGAGAACGATTTTTGGACCCCCCCCCTCTTATCAGTTTTGTACATGGATCTTAAATGTTAGACATGGATATAATTGACCATGTGGCCGCAGCGCTCGGCCCCCTAACCTGTCCTAGCCGCAGCGCTCGGCTCAGAAAGTGTCTTAACCTAACCTAACCCTAAATAATAAAAAATAAATAATAATAAATTTGCTGGTTATTCTGATCATTGTAATACTTTGCTGCTCGAAGCATATTCAAATTACTAAAGATTGAGAATTTTTTCTACGATATTTGCGGAGTTTATGAATTTTATCATATTTCATTCAGAGAAAAATTTCATAATTTAAGGAGTTTGTCTTTCAGGAGTTTGTATTTTCAGGAGTTTGTCTTGTCAGGGGTTTGTCTTTCAGGAGTTTGTCTTTCCGGAGTTTGTCTTTCAGGAGTTTGTCATGGCACCGGTTGGGTATCTTGTTGGTCTAAGGTTCAGGTTTTTTAGTGGGTTGTAGTGGAGTTTTTTGGCCTGGTTTTTTTATTTTCAACCTTGTAAAGGTTGAGTGTCCAGGTAGTTGGCCAAGGTTTTAAAGGTTGCTAATCTTTTTGGGTAAAGTTTTGGTATTTTGTTGGCCAAAGTTTGCATATTTGGTAGGTCAAAGGTTGGGTATCCTGTTGGCCTTAAGTTTAAGTATCTTGTTGATAAAAGGTTGCTAATCTTGCTGCAATGGTTGGTTTTCTCTTAGGGCCAAAGGTTGGTTATATTGTTTCCAAAGGTTTGGTATTGTGAACCCAACCCAAGGGTTCTCAACTTGTATATAGTACCATACAGTTCATAGCACCCAAGTCGAGAAATAAAGCCTAACGATCCAATCCAGCTTGAGTATACATGTAATAAATACAGAGGCCCATAGTAATCTAGATAAAGGGGGGGGGCATAAGTCTTATTACTCTACAAAAAATTTAAACAGTGTTAAAACACAACTTGTATTCTCATAGGACGCTGATTTTTTGCATGCGAACTCACTAATATGTATTGTAACTTCAAAATGCAAGTTCAAATAGATCGGAGCAAATGTGCACGGCCACTTTTTGTTAAAAATACAACATTTTTTTTTACGTTTTCACATGCTTTATTTACACTGTTAAATGAACTTGAAATTACAACAGGACACAATTAAACAAGAAATTCCTGAAAAGTTTATGCCCTAAAGCCTCAAGTATGTTGATTTATAGGTAATTAGGCACAAGGATTCCAATTTTTGGACATTAACGAGAGTATCAATGCAAAGCTAAATCTTCCACAATTCAGACTGCAGAATCTACTTATGTTGTTTAAATTGGTGATCAATTGATGTCCTGTCCTATAAGCTTTGAACTGTTATAAAATGTATTTAAAAGTTATGCCGCATGTTTCTTTAAAGATTTGTATTTAGATTTTTTATTTCTGTTAAACTGTTTATATCAAATTTATTTCATGTATTTGTATTATTAATGTAGAAGGTGGTGCCACCTGTAACAGCGTCTGTTGATGGGTCAAGATTTGAAGATGAAAGATCACGTAACAATTGATCACATAGTTGTGCAGAAGTTGAAGGACAATCAACAAATTTTGACGAATAGTAATTTTTAAACCTTGCACTGCGGCTGATTGAAGCCACTTCAGACAAACTTTAGTGGGGGGAACTAACTCTGGTTGATAGATCATGTAACAAACATTCAATTAAAAATAATGAAAATACATTTGTTAAAACAAATTCGAAATATAAGGAAGACGATTTTACTGACTCAAATGCTGTAGCCTTTTCTCAAGACGTGTTTATCCATTTCCTCCATGTAGCACCCACATGTCAAACCCCGCTCATCCGTTTCCCGCCTCACCCCTCTATAACACATCCCAGCTCAGTCAGGTTTAGAGAGTTGAGCCGGTAACAGCTCCGACACAGGGAGCCTCTTGACTCCTTTATGATGATGACGCAGATACTCAGCGCAACGCTCCTGTTGATCTGCTCCACCAACATGAAGCTCTACATCACTCCCATGAAGTACCCCCAAATACTCAGCATTTATTCCTTTGTTAATTTAATCAACCAATTTTAACTCCGCCTTAAGTGCAAATATTTCAAAACTCTCGTTTTTAAATAAATGTTAGAAATATCCATTTTTAGATCTCTTTATTTTACTATAGTGATTTTTAAAGTCAACAACATTTTACAAAATTTAACAAATGATTCTACGAAGGTGAATTTGAGTCTGGTGCTCCAACACATTTTGTAAGATGAAAATTTCCAATTTTTTTAGAGTGTACGTTATAAATGATTTAATGTTTTAAACTTAGAATATATTGAGATTATTCACTGAAACTGCTTTTCAATCTAATACCTAACATGATTATCTCAAATCATGCAACATACTTGAATTACGCTTTATATAATATGGATCGACAGAGATAGATTTTTTGCGTTATATCTATTCTCTTCAATCCTTTGAATATGTACTTAAACTTAAACTGTGAGATAAATACGTAATACTATGGTCTTAATCATGTGATATCAATAACATCGTAGGAATTGAATTACATGAATTCCTGTAAACTTTGTAACCTAAGCTATGGAATAAAGTTAGTTGATTATTATTCTGCTTTTGATTACGACATCAGAAACCTAAGTAAGCTTGGAAGACAGCTTTGGTTCTCGTTGAAATATTGCAAGTGGAGATCTTAGCTAGTTGATTTAGCATTGAATCGAATATAGCTTGAGTCCTCGTTGAATTATACAAGTTAAGATTTGGACTGTGTGTCCTTTAGAACCGGGAAATTAAGCCTGGCTGAGAAATTACCTGTGTAGCAATTTCATTGGACTGTGTCGGAAAGTTAAGCCTGATTGATTCTGTTCCGTTCTAGGACGAGGACCTTCCACTGATCGTTCTGTTCTCATTCCGTTCTTGTTCCGTTCCGTCCTGTTCCGTTCTGTTCTTAGTCAAAGAACGATCGGTACCCGCTCATCGAACCTAGAGGAAACGAACCTGACGTTTTTCCGACCTAAAAATCTGTAGGTTGGATTAGCGAAATGTCCCAAACTGACCTAAAGATTGGAAATATATTTAGGTCGGTTATTAACATATTTTAGATCAGTTGGGAATATATTTTAGGTTGATAGAGCAACAATTTTAGGTTAGATAAGCATTCATTTTAGGTCGGTTGAGCAATATTTTTTGGTCAGTTAAGCAATATTTTTAGGTCGGATGAGCAATATTTTTAGGTCGGATGAGCAATATTTTAAGGTTTGTAGTTTAAGTTTACACAG